AAATAAGCTGCTGCTGGCCACGCCCCCAACTCAATGTTTACACTGCACATCTTTGAAAAGCAGAAGTGGAGCCTCCTACACAACCAAAAGTAATGCAACAAGAGGTTTCTGGATGGTAAGTCAACAACAAAACACTTTTGTTTTTTCCAGCAGCCATTGTACAGCGTATAAAACCAGCTAAACAAACATGCTGGAGATTTGGTTGCGTTGCTAGGCAACGGGCTGGGGTTGCTAGGTAACGAAGTTTGTTGAATGTGACTTAACATTCAGAATGTTCATTTTTCAGACACCAAAAAACTTTAAGTTATTGCCAAAAAAAAACACAGCTGGGTGTTTTTTGGGCTGTGCTTTATGTGGCAGACCAACAAAACACATTTTAAAAATTAAAATCTTAAAGTCGATTCAGATTCCGTTACTCTGATTCCCCCTAAATAAAATCCAGTAACCAATTAGCTTTAGGAGCTGCAGAAACATTTAGGTAAGACGGGAAAGTCTACCAGTCATGCACCGACCAAATCTGGCCTTCATGAGAGTCGATTTGCAGTTTGATACAAACCATGTAGAGGACACACAGAGGAAGTGAGACCATGCTGTGGGGATACCTGTCCTCATGGAAGAACACATTTTCTTTTTGTTTTCCGTTTGGTTTTATTGCAATAATTGGTGGAAACTCCAGAGACTTCAAACAGCCAGAGATGCTTCAGTCAAACTGGACATCAGAGACGACGGTCGGCGCTTTCATGTCAGTCACTCTGTGACATTTTGAACAGAAAGATGTTACTCTGGCGTTTTAAGCGCGGCTTTTATGTGAGCGATGAGTTGACATTTTAACCAGCACCTGACTTCTAAGCGCATATACAGCCTCTTCATATGGCTTCAGGCTCCTGGCGGGGGGAGGATATGGTGACCTTTTACCCCAGCAGCTCCCCCACCGTCTCCTCAGGTATTACCACGCTCCCTCAGAGCAAGGACGGCAGGCGGCCCGGCTTCATTCGACAGAGAAGCCTGCAGGGGGGAAGGACTATTTCTGGATGCTCTATTAGGCAGAATTAATGATCAGGATCACAATTTTAGCAATACTTTAGGATCACACTGGTGGAAGTGCAATTATGAGCAAATACATCTTTGTGTCAGTGTCAAACATTCTCAGTTAAATTGTTCGTTGTAGTTTTTTAAATTTTCAACATTGATTAGAAAAGTTTAAAAAAAAATCACCTTTGCCTTTAGCAACACTAAAAATATCTGAACACGTTTGGCTACCAACATGTTGCCAAAGTTATTAATTTTAAGTACTTAAAATGGTCTGAAATACAAACAGGCTTTTCCAATTTTATGTAATTACTAATAAGATATTATCTGTAAGGAGAAAAACTGAGGAGATCCCTAAATAAAATGTCCAGTTTTACTGCCGTTTGCTGTTATTTGATGCTTGATATCAGTCACTAAAGGAAAAGTCTCTGCTTCAGCTCACCTGAATCAAATATTTAGGTAAATACTGGAGCTCTAGAGACTCTGACTGCATGAGGAGGTAACTGAGCCTTTAGCTTCAGGTCTCTGGCCCAGAGTGTGGAAGGTTTTACTCCTTCCTAAACGTCAGGTCTTTCCTGCTCTACATCTCACAGGTTCATAATTTGATCAGGACAGAGTATGTTGTTACAGACAATACTGACAATTGTGTCTCAATTATCAAGATGGTTTCCAGCAACAAAGTGATTCTCTTTCACAAACCAACCAAATCCTTTGATTTGCTGCACCAAGAAAATTACAGAAAACCTCTGAAGACACCGAGCACAACTTTCTCCTTCACAAAATGTAAACTGAAACTATTTTAGCAGTCGTACAATTATTATGTTTTTGTTTTTGCAAAAGGTCACGTGCCATTTCTCCTGCTAGCGCTAAGCTAACGCATTTGTTTTGATTGTATTTACCCAGAATGCCCTGCGCTGTAGTCCACTTCCTGCTTTTGGAGCATCTACAGTCCGCTTGGCGTTCACATAGGCCTCCAAACCGCAGCAGAGTTCACTTCAAATGAACTTAGACTGGCGCCTTTAGGCAGAGCAGCGTTTGTTCAGACTGATTGAACTCTTAGATTTATTCTGGTTTCATCAGAGCCTCTGTAGAGCTGATCGGCCCAAACAGGAATAAATAAAAAAAATAAATACGTTGTAACACATTTATAAAGTCCTGCACAGGGTTGTCATGGTAACAAATTTTACTGGACGATAAATTGTCCCAGAAGTTATTGCGATAAACTATAATATTGTTGTTTTGAGACCATTTTTACGTGAGTAAATGGCAAAATAACGCAAGAAAACTTTGTCAAAGATCAGTAAACTTTAAATCTAATGGACATTTAACACTGGAACTGGAAGACACTTTAAATATCTAAAATAAACAAAACAACAAATAACATGAATTTTGAAGTCTTTGTAAACAAAACTGCCCTTCAAAATAAGAGCTGGTTGAGACCAAAACACAAGACTGAAAAGTTTATCATCCAGTTTTTGGTAGAAAGAGAGAAAAAGAGATAAATGATCAATCATACCAATGGAAATAACTGTTTCAGTTTGTCATGCAATTAATTGATTTATTGATTATTGACAGGCCATAGAACAAAAGGTGATGCCTGCAGTTTGTTTTAATCAGAGCAAGAAGTGTATCAAATATTATTCACAGACTTTTTCAGAAAAATCCGTCATTCGAACAGTAAATCTGAACTTTATGGAGTATAAAACGTTTGTTTTACAGAAACAGCCACTGTTAGTAATGCAGAGGGAACAAATGTTTTAGGCTGGCGCCCAGTGAATCCATCAGATCAGTTTCACTCTGTGCATCATGGAGGCAGGTGGCTCCACCACAAACTTGGCATTCCTCTGCAGCTGTGAAATCACACTGATTGGTAAACTATAAGCCGTTTTTCTGGGTGAAGCTTCAAAAAGCATTAATCCTCCTCAGCGTGAGGTTGCTCCACACAAAACAAACAAAAAAACAAACACACACAGAGTTAAACCCGCACAGGACTCCAGAGCACACAACACAGCATAGGCAGGATTCACCGCTTCCAGCAGACATACCTGTTAAATCCAACGCCTCCCCTAAAGTCCTCAGCGCGTCGCTTCAGCCTCAACTCCAACTGCTGCTCACCTGTTCAACTTCAGCCCCATTCCTGCCTGCCCCGTGCTTCCCTGCTTTCTGTCCAAAGCTGCCGGTTGTACGAAGGTTTTGCGAAAGCTTGGTTGGTGGCTGCAACTGCCACTGACTTGTTGTACTTTAATTGTGGTTGCTAGGCGATAAGCTTCTCCAATTCAGCTCACCGAGTGGAGGGGAAGAAAGGGGAGCGAAGGAAGAGAGGAGGAGGGGAGGAAGCGAGAGAATAGGTGGCGGGGGTGAGGAGGAAATGCTCATTATGGACAGAAACCAGGAGAGAAAGATACGGACAGGAAGAAACGGGCTTCACACGCAGAGGAGCCAGAGATCCACTCACGGAAAAGTAAAACGTAGCCGAACAAGAAATTACTCAAGAGTGAAAATGTATTTGGTAAAAAGTCTGCTCAAGTACTTAAAGTATCATCAATTAATATTTAAAAATTACATCATCAGATGGGCCAAAATATAAACTTAAGTGGAAATTCTGGTATTTTAAGGACCAAAATGACCAAAAAATAAAGAAAAACGAAAAATTTCCCAACTCAGTTTCTGTGAATAAAAAAATTATGAAATGTGAACCAAAACGGGGGCTGCACAGTGGTGCAGTTGTTGCCTTGCACCAAGAAGGTTCTGGGTTCGATTCCTGGCCCGGGTCTCTCTGCATGGTGGGTTCTCTCCGGGTACTCCGGCTTCCTCCCACAGTCCAGAAACATGAAGGTCAGGTCAACTGAAAACTCCCCAGATGTGTTCATGGTTGTTTGTCTCTGAGATGGGCACCAAAAGCAGCAGGTGAGTTTTTGGTTGTTTTTCATTCAGTGGGTCAAAAATCCATAAATTTTACTCAAGAGTAGAGACACTTCATAATAAAATTACTCAAGTAAAAGTAAAAAGTCCAGCGCAGTGAAAATACTCCTAAAGTTACTCAATGTAATTGAGAAAATGTAAGTTGTTGCCACCCAACTGTGATGGAGGGAGAGTGGAGAGGAAATTTTCACTGAGGTTTTAGCTTTGCTTCGTTTCATTTCGTTTACGTGACGTAAACTGATCAGCGCATCCAGAAAACTGAATTTACGCTAAGCTAAGTCCGCTACACATTGTCAAAGTTGGCAAAAATGCTAAACTGCTGAACAGAAAAATTAGTTCAGCCATTAGCAGCAGAGTGCCCACCACTGGATAGATGAGCAAACCTATTTAAAAAGAAACTATTTTATATGACGTGGCGGTTTGATCAGGCTGCAGCAGACAGCAGGAAGGCTAATCAGAGCGCTAACATGGTTGCTCTGTTTTTCCTGTTTCTTTTTACAAAGGAAGGCTACAAACCAATGCTAGGTCATAATTAGCATGGCTAACTGTTAGCTTGGATTAACTTGGGTAAATGTGAAGCACAGTAAAGTACAGTAATTTTTTTCCTGCCGTTCTGAAAATACTTCACCTCGTATGACACACGACGCTGCTGCCATTTCCTGGATGCGTCATCATCAAATGACTGGTTATAAAGATGATGGAAGAAGACTTAAAGCGCCAGAGGACAAACATTTCTGTAGCAGCAAGCAGCCCACGCTGCTCTTTACACCATGAACTGCTTTTCCAGATCAGCTTGACCTTTTCTGGGACCTTTTGGCCTGGGATGTCCTGGAGGCAAGTCCTTTACTTCACAGAGCCTGCAAGAGGCTGCAAACCATAAATGGGCAAATCTTATCCTTAGCATGTCATGCCTGTCAAATATTCATTATTTATTTAGCCTGAGTCACACTTACTTTTGTGTAGAGGGGAAAAATTAAGTAATTAAAAAGATATGGAACATGTTAGGTAAGGTCAACAGTTACGCAGGAGGAAACGTGACTTTCTGTGCAGCATCCTCCACGTTTACGGAGTGAAAACGTCTTTAAACGATTCAGAGAGAAGATTCAGAAAAATGCAGCTTTTACTCCAGAATCATCACATTAAAAAATGTTTATTAAACTCAAACTTGAGTTTAATCTTCATATGTTACATTAATCCAGGTGTTTAGGACAATGGAAAGAATGATTCTGTCTACACTACAAAAACAGAACATCTTATAAAGTAACTTTGGTCCAGTTCATAATGCAAATATCTTAGCGTACTTAAAATAATACAAACTAACTTAAAAGTAACATTTCGGCAAGATAGAGACTTAATTTAAGTAAATAATTCCTTCATATTTAATATATCCACTGGCGGATTATTTCATTTATAGCAAAACATTTTCCCACATTATACGTTAATTTATCTGCCACTGGAACTAGAAAGTTTTCATCAATATTAAGGAGTTATTTACTTAAAACAAGCCTGTATGTCATTCTGAAAGTTACTTTTAAATTAATTTGTCTTATTTCAAGTTTATTAATATATTTGCACTAGAAACTGGACCCAAATTACAAGGTAGGATTTTGTGTTTTTGCAGTGTAAATATGCTAATATACAATAATACAATACAAAACTGAAAATAAAAAATAAAATACAGCGAAAAGTGTTGCAAAAAAAATGGAAAAAATAAATAAAAATAAAATAAAACTCAGATATCAAAGAAACGTTGAGTCATAATAAAATGCTTCCAATTTGTTTTATCAATCATCAGATATCATTTTAACAGTAGATGGATAAGTGGCCACCGTTTTTAAAAAGTACCAAAGAAAACTGCAAACCAGCTGAAACACTGAGTTCCTTTAAATCAGAGGTAAAAATATCTAAAATATCTACAATAACTCTTTGAAGAATTTGAATTAATATGAGATACAACAACAATTAATATTCCTTTGATATTAATAAAATACTTTTGAACTGAATTATTTTTTACTCATAATATTTGGTGCTTATTTGCTTAATTTTGCTGTTTATTATTTGTGTCATAATTGGTTTCTGTATTATGTTTTTATAGTGTAAAGCACTTTGAACTGCCTTGCTGCTGAAATCTGCCATACAAATAAACTTGACTTCAATTAGATGATGCAGGGAGAAAATTTTATTTAAGACTTTATTTAAGGGTGTGAATGGAAAAAAAGCACACCGCACTTTTCAGACTTTTATTTGGAAAAAACATGAATCCACTTCTCAGCTTTAGGCTGTGCTGGTGTATTGCATGAAATATCAATAAAATACACTGAAGTATAAGACAAAAAAAAAGAAAAAGTGAAAAAATGAATGGTGATCAGCAGTTCAGCAAGGCGCTGAAGTTTTAAGCTTCACTGTGGTTTAAGAGACAAATAATTTAAATAACTCCCACATTTCTAAGGCAATAAACATAAAAAGAGGGAAAGAAAAGCTAATTACAAGGAACAAAGGCATCAGACAGCCAGCTACACAGACTTATGACTTCATTAACAGCAGACCAAATTAAAAAAGTATTTCTACTGGAAGGAAAATTACAGGGAAGCCAGTTAGCAGGTACACAAGCGAGGAAACAAACACACACACACACACACACACACACACACACACACACACACACACACACAGGCGTGCTGTGCTTCACACACGGCATCAGCAGAGCGGAGTGATAAT